TATTTTGATTCGGTTCTACTTATCGGGGCGAGTTACCCTATTGTTGTTCCACCTATGGGTGAGTCCATGACTTAGTATTCTGTATACGTGTTTGCCCCTGTTGGGAGATTCTATGAGTGGTAGCCCGTGTCTATCATTTATTTTTATTCATTATTGAGAGTTTCGAGGCTAGAAGTGAATTCATGTTCTCCATTATGGTAAGTTTGATGTGATTCCTGAGTAATTTGGTTACAATTTGTGATTTGATACTCTACCGGGGTGAGAGTTTAGTAAGTGTTGTGATTTTATTGGCAGAATTGAGTTAGTGGAAGATTTCCATTGGCATGATGTGTATTCGAATTGTGATTCAGAGTTGAGGTTGAGACCCTCGCGATTCCATGTGATTTGATATGTTTGAGACGGGTTACGTGCCGCGGTGGAAGTTATATTAGGATGAGGTCATTGTGAATTGTTCATATAACTTGATTCTTCCTTTTTAAATTGATTTGTAGTATGGTACTGATAGAGAGTTGTGCCTGTCAAGTTTGTTTGATATTTCTCTTATGTGTTTCTCTTTACATATTCAGTCATTTTCGTTCTGTGCTTCTTGAGTTTTAGCTTGCGGGTTGTGTGCCCGATGGTGTTTATTATGACTTGTTGATTCGGGTGTATAGTTAAGAGGTATTCATGTTTCTTGCATCGTTGTCAGTGTTGTGGAGGTTTTAAACAGGGTTATAACGGATATGAGGCTAATTGCCAGTGCTGGTTTTGATTATGGGTAGCTATTGTGATCAGAAATGTTATTATGGGCCTATGTGTGGCGTGTCATGTTGAGTGGTCGTACCTTGTGGGTGTAGGCGTGAGTTGTTGCAGCTAGTTGAGATTGATACCGGGTGTGGATTTAGAATCGGGTCTTTTGGAGATGAACGGAAGGTGAGAATTTTAACTCTAATGCTTATCGGTGTTGGTAGGAAGGATAAATTACAGTTGAGATGGTGTTGTCAGGCTTATGTGGATTGGGGTGACGTGGGCTCACCCGCGAGTGTATGTTGGATATGTGCATTCAGTGATTTGAACACGTCGAGGCGATTCTTGGCACGTTTGAGGACGAACGTTTGTTTAAAAGGGGGAGGATGTAACAACCCGGCCGATCGTTTTGAGAATTTAAGTCATGTTCGGTAGAATAAGGTCTTGAGAAGCTTCGTATTATGTGTATTGACTTGCGTGCGTCGTGGATTTTAGTTACCGGATGATTCAGAGTCAAATCAGAAGAAGGATTCAAGTTTTGGAAGCTTAAGCGATAAGAGTTGACCAGAATTTGACTTTTGTGTGAACTGCTTCGGAATGGGTTTTGGATGATTTCAAAAGCTTCGTATAGTGATTTTTGACTTAGGTGTGCGTCCGGATTTGGATTTGGAGATTCGTAGGGTGATTTGAAGCATTTTGGCGAAAGTTGAAGTTGGAAAGTGGAGAGGTTTGACCAATAGTTGACTTTGGTGATATTGGGGTCGGAATGCAATTTCGATAGTTGGAACAGCTCCGTTATGTCATTTGGAACTTGCCTGCAAAATTTAACGTCATTCCGAGTTGGTTTGATTAGTTTTGGCACGACTTTTCGAAGTTGGAAGTTTTGGAAGTTTATAAGTTCGATTCGTGGTGCGATTTGTATTTTCAGCGTTGTTTGATGTGATTTGAGGCCCTGAGCGAGTCCGTGTTAGGTTATAGAACTTGTTTGTGGGTTTAGACCGGGTCCTGGGGGCCTCGGGTATGTTCCGGGTGGGCTACGGGTCCTTTCCCCTATTTTTGAACTGTTGTTCCTGTTTTCTGGTGTCCTTCTTAGCGATGGCGAAATGTTACTGCTGACCACCTCGAGATCCTTCTTCGCGTTCGCGTTCAACCTCTCACGTTCGCAAAGGTTTGCTTTTCCCCTTCATCGCGTTCACGATTAGCCACCCGCGTTCGCGAAGCTCTTCCTAGCAGCCTCATATTTCTTCTTCGCATTCGCGTAGGTTCCATCCCTTGTTCTTCGCGATCGCACTCCTTCCCTCGCGTTCGCGAAGGGTTTTTCTGGACAGCCTTACTTTCCTTCTTCGTGAACGCGAGCCTTTCTCCGCTTTCGCGATGCTTTCAGACCTGGGCAGAATATAAGTTTTCCAAATCGAGGGTTAGGCCATTTTTCATCATATTTTGACTTGTAGAGCTCGATTTTGAGCAATTCTTTATGGGTTTTTCAAGCAAATCGATTGGGTAAGTGTTCTTCACCTAGAATTTAATATATTCCATGATTTTATCTTTATTTTTATCATTTAATTGGTGTTTTGAGTTGAGAAAATGGTAGTTTTTGAAGAAAGTTTTCAAAATGAAAAATCATGATTTGATGAACGAATTGTTATCAGAATTTGATAATTTTAGTATGGTTGAAATTGTATCGGAATCTGAGTTCGGATTTTGTAAAATTTGTCGGGTTCCGGGGTGCGGGCTTGTGGGTCAATTTTTTGATTTTGATAAAGATTGAGCCTTTATGATCCAGAATAGTTTCTTATGAGGTTTATTTGTGCTTTGAAGTTATTTTTGTTAGATTTAAGTCGTCCGAAGGTCATTTCACCTGAGAAGTTTATTTTAGAGTATTAGTTTATCTTCTTTGAGGTAAATATCCTGCCTAACCTTGTGTGGGGGAACTACCCCTTAGGATTTGAGTCTTCTATGTTGATTGTAGTCCGTGTACGCGAGGTGACGAGCACATGCTCAGACTTATTTATTGAAATTGGCCTTTTAGGGTTCCTAGGTCCTTGTATTCATTGAATATGCAGTTTTACTTGTTATGTTTACGTTCCTTAATTACTAGTTTCACCTTTACCTGCTTAATTAGAATCAATTGCTTCATGATCCACTCTTACTGTTTACTTGATTCATATGTGCCTTAATTAAAATTGTTATCTCTTCCATTGCCATGTTATCTTTTCCCTAACTGTGTATCTTTATTTGAAGTTGTAGTTATCCCTTTCTGTAAATGTTCACCCTTAATTGAGGTTATGGTGATTTTCTCGCTGCCCACTTTTATTTGAATTAGTTGTATCTCTTCCGTAATTTTCCAAATTTTAAAAAGGCTTAGATATCCTATGCTTTAGTGGACTTACCCTTATTCAGACTTATTTTACTCATGTTAGTTTCTTGTTGTAGAACCGTACATTGTGGAACCATTGTTACATATTGTTTCCTTCCCTGTTGAGATGTTCGTATTACGCCTAGTATTCTTTATTATGGTTATTCCTTGTGAACTAGTTCTACCATTCTTGTGATCGAAGGTTCTTGAGTTGATTTACTTGTCGTACTTTGTATTATTATCATTGTTGCTGTGGTACTTGTTGTGGTGATGCATGAGGTTTCAACCATGCGGTTATTGTTATTGTGATGCACGAGGTTTCTTCCGTGTGATTTTTAATATGGGGTTGCATGAGGTTTCTGTCGTGCTGTTTTTACTATTGATATTTGCACATACAGCGTGACAGGGCGAGATATATATATATGTGGGTTGCACATATGACAAGACAAGGTGAGAACATGATTATGCACGTGTGGGGAGACAAGGCGGGCGTTCACTTTATTGTTGCACACGTGGCGAGATAAGGTGGGCTATGTCAGGGATTGATTTGTAATGATTTGTGATGGCCTGAGGGCATTCTTGTTATTGATATTTTTGTAGTTGTACACTTACCTGTGTGAGCTTTATCTTGTGAAAGTTGTGAGAAAACCTTCTACGTACTGTCCGTTCTTTTCCTTATGCTCACTAGCTGGTATGAACTATGTTAGGACACTTGCAGAAGCATATACGTAGTTAAGCACTCTTATCGGATAAGAGGTTTTTTTTGATATTGTTGAGTATAGATACACACCCTTGCTTACTTGCCTTCTATGTGAGAATGGCTCTATTTGGCACGCGAGTCGTCAGTGCGGTTATGAGGTGTAATGAGGACACATGATGCCAAGTGTTAGGGTTCATGTATTGAGACCCGTGAGTTGTGATTTATCCGAGGTTCGGTACCACGTAGAGTTTGTTGACTAAAACCTAATGCAAAAGAGGTCATTGTTGCTGAGTTATTATTTGTCCTTGCTGTATCTGTGATTTCGGATTTAGGTTGTGTTTACGTTCACCCTTCTGTGTCATTATTATGGTATTCCGCTGATACTTGTTGTTGTCCTTTCCTATTGCAATTATTGTATTGTTAGTCATATCGCGTAGTCTTTATGTAGATATTATACTCTGTTATTTCTATACTTATAATTTGTTCAGGTTATTTAGTCCAGTAGGTGTCTTGACTGTTCCTCGTCACTACTTCACTGAGGTTAGTCTTGATACTTGCTGAGTACCGCTGTGATGTACTCATACTACACTTTTGGATATTTTTGTGAAGATCCAGGTATTGCAAAGTCAGTTGATCATTAACTTGCAGCGCGGATTGTTGCTGTGGAGACTCAAGGTAAACCTGCTGCTGCGTTCGCAGGCTTCAGAGTTACCTTCCTATTTTGTATTCATACTGTTTTTACCTATTTCCAAACAGTTGTATTTAGAAGTTGTAGCAAACTCTGTAGAGCTTATGACTTGTACTACTGATTTTGGGAATTGTAAATTTTATGGAGAAATCCATTTCAAAAGTTGTTAGATGTTATTTATTATTGTTGTTATTCAGTAAATGTTAGGTTTACCTAGTCCCTAAGACTAAGTGTCATCACGATACCTAACGGAAGGAAAATTGGGTTGTGACAAATTATTTTGATCATATTTTTAGTAACCATTATAAGGAAAAAGCACCGAGAGAGTAATTAAATGAATGAATTTATATTTTAGTTGATGTGGTGAAGAGAATATTACACCCATTTTGATCCGAGGTAATACCTCGGAGGTATATGTCCTTAACTCTACGTCTACGCAAAACCACCTGACAACCTGGATTCTATTGTTCACACATTGTTAGACATCATTTTCCTTCTTATCAACCCCCCCTATATATACCCTCTTTAGAGCTATATATCATTCTCCCAAACTTAAAAGTTTATTCACTTCTTTCACTTGAGATATAATCCTTCAAGATGAAGCTTTGTTTTGCAACTCTGCTTGTGGTGACACTTGTTCTTACTTCTTCCTTTATTCAAACAACTATGGCTGGTTCAGGTATAAAACTATAGTATTAATTTCTTGATAATCTAGTTACCATTTATGCACTCAAATTTTATTGCTTTTCACATTTTCTTTTGAACTTCTTTCAAAAAGAAAGATTCTTAACTCAATTTTCAGTTTCACAATGGTTAAAACCACATATTTCAAAAGTTATCACAAATGTTATATAACATATACGTTTCAAAAGATTTTCTTTCTTTCTTAACTTTGCTTATTCAGACCTTTGCCTTACAAATTTGAAGGATATAGTAATTATTTTTGGTTTGATGGTCTAATAATGAGATGCCGTTGTGTTCTTTTTTGAAGATTTCTGTGATTCAAAGTGCAAGATTAGGTGTTCAAAGGCAGGACGACAGGACAGATGTTTGAAGTATTGTGGGATATGTTGTAAGGAGTGCCAATGCGTTCCTTCTGGGACTTATGGGAACAAAGACGAGTGCCCTTGCTACAGGGACAAAAAGAACTCTAAGGGACAGCCTAAATGCCCTTGAAATTTACTTTACTCTTTCCATTATATTCTTATGTTCCAAACAAGATATAGAGGCATATAGCCTTAATTGAATCCTTCATATGGTTTATCTGATGTATGTTAGTAAAGAAATAAGTACACAAGTGAACAAATGGTTTCTTTTGTATACTTATTTTATTTTATTTTATTCATATTTGAATTAAATCTACCAAGCATTCAGTTGCCATAATAATTAATTGATGTTTGCCACTGGAAAACACTCATTTTTTTTTTTAAAATTTTGTGTATGTATTGGGATCATACCGTACAACATAACAAAATGGGTTATTTAATTAATGGACTTTTACATGACTATTCATGTAAATAATTACCGGCTTGTATTCATTTAAAAAAATATGTTTTTATACGTGACTAAGTTTTGATCGACAGAATTACTTGATAAGTGATAATTATATTGTTTGAAGATAATATATGCCAAAATAATTGGGGTGGTTACAAGTTAACTTTGGACATCACTATAAAAAAAATTAAAAAAGGAACCCTACTCTCCTTCTCGTTATCTTTTCACCTTTCTACCCCTGATTAAAAAGGGGTTTGGATTTTATGGAGTACATCATAGAGGGGAAACTGTCAGTGTAGTAGCTATAGCTACCTGGTACCTATGATGTTCTATAGTTCAAACCTACAAAATATTTTTTTTAAAACTTTCCTTCTCAAAATATTACTCTCTCCGTTCAATTTAAATGACACACTTTTCTTATTAGTTTGTTCCAAAAAGAATGATCCATTTTTATATTTTAAAATAATTTAATTTTAAACTTTTTATTTTATTCACTTTACTCTTAATAAAAAGTTTTTATAGCCACATAAATGACATGGCCTCACAAAACTTTTACCCCTTAAACTTTTAGGACCATATATTTTAAAAGTCTTATTTTTTCCATTAAATTTTGTGTGAAGTGAAACTGGATCATTTAAATTGAATCGGAGGACTTGTGAATATGGCTTAATACAAAGATTGAATGACAACACTGATCTCTAGTGCTAAGTCTATATGCTACGTGATCCAAAGACATATACTCCTAACAGTTTACACTTTATTAAATTATAGAATAGCCAAAAAGTTGAAGTTGCATAATGCCTCTATATATATATATATAAGAATAAGAAAGGTGATGTGACACCTTCTATGCCTAGCAATTGTATTTATCTATTTTCTCTTATTTTTGACAATTCAGTTTTATCCTCTCTTTTTTTCTATTTTTTACATTTATGTGTAAGAAAGGTGATGTGACACCTTCTATGCCCAACAATTGTATTTATCTATTTTCTCTTATTTTTGACGATTCAGTTTTATTCTTTTCTTTTTCTATTTTTTATATTTATGTGCTTTGAATAAAAAATCTCAACCGTCGCTCCTCTTATTTTTTCTCACCTAATAGTCGATTATTTACTTCTCTTAATAGTAACCGAAACACTCTCTCCATTATAAAGGTGTTAAACAGATCGGGCCAAACCATTAATGACCCGGTTTGGCTTGGTTTAGTCCGGGTCAGTCCGACCCGGTAAGAGGTGGGACGAGTTGTAGGGTAGGTGGGTTGTGCCGGATAGGGTCGAGCTATTTTTGGTTATCGGTGCACCGAAATCCGTCTAGTCCGGTAACCCGTTCATGGATTTTTACCGGGTTCTAGCCTGGTATCCGTTGGGATTTTTTTTTACCGTTGCCAACGGTCAAATTCAAAAATGACCATTGGGCAACGACCATTTTTGGCAGATTTAGCCATTTCGGCCTACCCCTTAATAAAATAACCTCCCATCCCTAATAATTGATAAATTACATTTTTAGCATTTTAAAAACTATAAAAAGCCCCCTCCCCTTAATTTTTTTCTCACAACTTGCTCTCTTCTACGACTCTAATTCTCTCTCAAGTCTCAATCCCCTATTTATTATTGAATTGCTTATTTCTCTCAAGTTTTCAATTAATTAATCTTTCAAGTTTTATGAATTATTTACGGTTACCAGTTTTGTTAGGTTCAAGTTAAATCATGCCTCATGCTTCTAGTGTGTGCTCACATGTTTGGGAACACTTTGAGGTGGTAGAAAAAAATAAAGAAGTTCGCAAAGTAGAGTGCAAGAACTGTGGTCGAGTTTTTAATGTTCGTCGAAAGTGGGAGGGCACATCTGATTTAAGGAGGTATATCAAGGGTTGTCTTGAGCGTCCTCCAGGAATTCGTATTTAAGTTGATTTGAGATAATTTGTGTTATTTTGAATTTATTAGATTTATTTAAGCTTAATGTGTTAGTTTATTAGACAAGTTAATTTGAATTATTATTATTATGCAATGAAAATATGAAATGAAAGCCTTTGAAATTTGATCCTTATATATTTGTCTTATTAGATAATTTTATGTAGCCACTTAATTTCAATTTTTAAATTTAACACTTTAAAGTTTAAACTTTAAAAGTTTAATTTTATACCTTACAATACTTATTTTATTATTTAGAAGTTTGCAAACACTTAACTATCAATTACATTGAACAAGACAACATAATACACAAAAAATAAACCGGCTCTATTCGAACTGAATAGGCCCGAACCCGGACGAGCCCACTAGAATCCCAAATTATGCAGCCCACTAACAGTCCGGTATGCCAGCCCACTAACCAGCCCTTCTCCCACTAATCGGGCGGACTATTTTTTCTCTTGACTAGCTCGGTCCAGTCCGTCCGGTAAACATCCTCACTCCATTTCCATCTCTTCTCCTTTTTTGCTCCTTCTAAAGTGATTGCCCAATTGCTAATACCCTTCCTTTATAAATTGATGATTATTGCTGAGATTTTGAGTTAATGAACTCATATTATTATTTGTTATTATTAGTTTCCAATGTATTAATTCAAGCACTCTATTTCCAAGCTACTATCATTAGGACTGCAGGTAAAATATGCTTGCCTGTGATTATCCTTTCTTTTCTCTTTGTAAGGAGATCCAAAAGGGATTTCTTTGACTCAACATGTCTCCCATACTGACTTTGAAGTTCTTTTGAGCAAACCAAGAAATATTGGCAAATTAGGAGACGTATATGGTATTACTTTCCATGCTGATTGCTCATTATCTCGATTAGTTCTTAATGTGTTCCTTTGTTATTCAACTTTGTTGCTGGACTTTTGAGGTTTTTGTTCTCCTTCCCGTATTTCTTCAATTTTGTTTTCATGGTGACATTAATTACTGCTTTTGATAGGGATTTTAAATGTTCCAATTTTTCATCAGTTTCCAACTTGATCTGTAACAATCCGGTTGGTCGTTTTGAGTATTACAGCCCCGTTTCCCTATTTACTACTAAATTTATGTTTTACAGTCATTTTATGACTTATCGGGTTAGTTGGTTCGGGCCCGGAGGAAATTCGGAGTGAAATAAGACACTTAATCTCATAATTGAAAATTTTAAGTTAGAAAAGTTGACCAGATATGGACTTATGTATAAACGACCTCGGATTTGAATTTTGATGATTCTAATAGTTCTGTATGGTAATTTTGGACTTAGGAGCGTGTCAGAAAAATTATTTGAAGGTCTGTAGTGGAATTAGGCTTGAAATGGCGAAAGATAAATTTTTGGGAAGTTTGACCGGGGAGTTGACTTTTTGATATCAGGGTCGGAATCCGATTATGAAAATTGGAATAGCTTCGTTATGTCAATTATGACTTGTGTGCAAACTATGAGGTCAATTGGACTTGATTCGATAGGTTTCAGCATCGAATGTAGAAGTTGGAATTTTTTAGTTTTATTAAGCTCGAATTGGGGCACGATTTATGGTTTTAGCATTGTTTGATGTGATCTGAGGCTTCGGCTAAGTTCGTATGATGTTTTAGGACTTGTTGGTATATTTGGTTGAGGTCTCGAGGGGCTCGGGTGAGTTTCGGGGTGGTTTCAGATCATTTATAGGTCATTCTTAGTTGCTGATTTTTGGCCAAAGAGGTATGCATCGCGATCGCGGACAAATGGTCGCGATCGCGAAGAGCAATTTTGCTGTTTGGACACTGTGAATCGCGATCGCGGAAGCCTTTTCGCGATCGCGTAGAGGAAAATTATGCTGCACTGACTCGACTTTGGAAGCTTATATCTCGCAATCTATAAGGAATTTGGAGATGATCCAAAAATGAAAGTTGTAGCCCTTTGTGTCTAGAGTTCAGAAAAGAAAACCATTTGTCATTTGGCGTTATGTACAAAATGTTATGGTGAATATATTATAAGCAGTCTGGGAAGAGTTTGGAAATCTCTATTGCATAAGACTGATTTTGAAAGATTATATCTCGCAATATCTAAGGAATTGGGAGACGAGCAACAAATGTAAGTTTTAGCCCTTGGTCTCTAGTTTACAAAAAGGTAAACCAATTAAAATTTGGAGTTTTGTACAAACAGTTATGACTATTATACTAGAGGTTGTCTGGAAGAGATAGGCACTTGTTCTTCGCGACCGTGAAGCATTGTCCGCGATCGCGAAAGGCAAAATTTGGGCTGAGAAAAGTTGTGCTTCGCGATCGCGAAGCATTTTCCGCGATCGCGAAGAGTAAATACCTAGGTAGTAGCTATATTTCAAGGTTTCAGCCATTTTAAACATATTTGGTACTTTGGAGCTCGGATTGAAGCGATATTTGAGGTGATTTTTACCATATGGATTGGGGTAAGTGTTCTATATCCTAAACTGATTATACTTCATGATTCTATGGTTATATTCATATTTTATTTCAGATTTAAATGGAAGAAATCAAGATTTTTGCAAAATCTTCCAAAAACAAAAATTTAAGATTTGGAGGTCGAGTTGTTATCGAAATTTGATAAAATTGGTATGGTTGAACTCATATCGGAATGGGTGTTCGGATTTTGTAACTTTTTTTGGATTCCGAGACGTGGGCCCCACGATCGAGTTTTGAGCTAAATTTCGGATTTTTATGGAAAATTAGTATTTTCTTATGGAATTAATTCCAATAAATTTGATTGACTGAATGGAATTAATTGTAGCTAGATGCGATGTGTTTGGAGGCCAATTCACAAGGCAAAGGCATAGTGGAGTAAAGAATTACACGGTTTGAGATAAGTAATACTTCTAAACTTTGTTTTGAGGATATGAATCCCCGAATTCGGTATGATATAAATTATTTGGAGGTGACACACGATAGGTGACGAGGCTATTATTAATGAATCATGTTATTATA